TACAAGTGTTCCATTTTCTTTCTCAACAACATATGATCTTGGCTCTTGTAAACCTCGTCTAACCACAGCAGGTTTCCATTGCCCATCTTCTCTTATAACCACATTATCCCCTACACTTAATGCTTCTTTTGTAGCTGTATTTCTATCATAGTAGTGCTTGTACAATTTTCTTTTATTATCCAATTTATTCTTTTCATTTTTTAGGTCTACCTGTTCTGGTAAATATTTCTCTTGTAAAACTGGAAGTTTGCCTCTAAGTCTACGACTATTCAAGAGTTGTGCTGGGGACTTGTCTGATCCTAATAGTGGTGTATTTCTATATTCTAATAAAGCTAACTGAAGATCTTCACACTTCCTGAAAATATTTTTAGCTATCTGGACGGCTCGTTCTGCCTGACCATTTGCTCTAGGATATCTAGGACTAGATGTCACAAATTTAAAGTTCCATTCCTTAGAAAATTCTCGACATTCCTTAGAGCCAAAAGGCATATTATCAGATACAACTTCCAAAGGAATCCCATGAGTGGCAAACATCGTCTTAAACGAATTTATTATTGACTGGGATGTTTTGGACTGCAACGGAACAATTTCAATCCACTTTGTGAGATAATCCATTACAATTAAATAAGATGTTCCTCCAAATTCACAAATATCAGCTGCTAGCATTTGAAATGGCAGTTCTGGAATTTCTCTTAGTACTAATGGCTCTTTAACATTATTTCTCTGATATTTCTCACACTCAACACAATTTCTAACCAAATCCACTATGTTCTTATTCATATTTGGCCAGAATAATACCTGTCTCGCTCTTTGCTGTGTTTTTGTAACCCCAAAGTGTGTTTCATGAAGCAGCTTTAACATCCTATGCCGCAAAGAATCCGGAACTATGACTCTGTCCTTATAAAACATCAAATCATTTAATGAGTAAACATCATGCCTAATATTAAAATAATCTTTGACTATGTAAGGTACCCTCGATGCACATGACGGCCACCCTTTTTCACAAAAATCTCTAATTATTTGAAGCTTCTTATCCTGTTTAGTTTCAGCTATAAATTCCTCTCTCCTTTCTTCTGTTATATTTAATGTATGCACTATTTCCGTTACAAATGCATCATCCTCTACCTTTTCCTTCAAAAAGTTTCGAGACAACAAATCAGCTATAAGCATTTCCTTGCCTGGCTTATATTCTACAGTTAAGTCATATTTTAATAATTTCACCTTCATACGTTGTAGTCTAGGAGAGTCTACTTCTGCTATGCCTTTCTTCATTATCGAAATCAATGGCTTATGATCTGTGAAAACCTTAACTTCTCTACCATAAATATAATTATGAAATTTATTACAAGAAAATAGGATTGCATTTAGTTCCTTTTCAATCTGGCTAAATCTGGTTTCACAATTGGTTAAAGATCTAGAAGCAAAAGATACAGGTTTAAGATTTTGTAATAATACACATCCAACACCATTTTGACTTGAATCTGTTTGAATTATTATTGGAATATTTTCATCAAAATTTGCAAGAACTGGTGGTGAGCAAATTAACTTTTTTATTAAATTAAATGAGTTTGTGTGACTTCTAGTCCACATCCAAACTGTATCCTTTTTCAACAATTCTCTTAGTGGGGCTGATACATCCGATAAATTTGGTATAAAATTGCGATGGTAATTGATCATGCCCAGTATTCTTTGTAACTCTTTTTTATTATTGGGTTCTTTTAAATTTATAATAGCTTTAACTTTATCTACATCAGGTCTCATACCATCTTTATCAAATGTATTTCCCAAATATTTTACTTCCGGCATTCTATACTGTATCTTATTGGGATTAAATTTTACTCCAATATTTCTAGCACGTTCTAATACTTTATTAAGGATTCTATCATGTTCTTTAAGACTACCTGCAAATATCAAAAGATCATCAAAATAGATGAGACATCCCTCAATATCACCAAAGTTTTCTAAGTTAATTCTTTGAAAAAATTCAGGAGCAATATTTAGTCCAAATGGAAGTCTATCAAATTTCCAAATTCCAAAAGGAGTTCCAAATGCACAAACTCTACTGGACCTCTCATCAAGTTGAACTTGATAGAATCCCTCTTTAAAGTCCAAAACAGAAAAATAACATTTGTTTTTTAACTTACTGCATATCTCTTCAATAGTAGGTATTAAACAATATTCCTTTTTAAGTGCTTTGTTTAAATCTCTAGGATCTAAACAAATTCTTAATGTTTTATCAGTTTTTTCAACTATAACCAAATTGCTCAACCACTCTGTAGGACCCTCACATTTAGATATAATGCCACGTTTTTCTAAATCTAACAGTTGATTTTTTAATCTCTCTTTAATGGCTAAAGGGACCCTTCGTGGGGGCTTAGCCACAGGAACACAATTCTCTTTGAGTTTTAGTTTACATTTTTGAGGACATTTACCTAATCCAGTGAATACATCAATATTTTGTTTAATAAAGTCATTTTTTGTTATATTTAAATCTATGGTATCTACTCTTTGTATCAAACCCAAATCTAAACATGATTTTAAACCTAAAATTGGCATAAGGTTATCCTTAACTATAACAAATTCTAGTTGAAATATGTTCCCTTTAAATAAACATTTTAGTGTAATAATACCCACAGGTTTTATTTTAAATCCCCCATAAGCTTCTAACCTTATTTTGCTCTGAATTATCTCATGATTTTTATTGATTTTATTCAAAAAGTAGATTGATATAATGTTAACCTGAGAACCTGTATCTATTTTAAAGTCTATTCCATATTGCTCAATTACTAACCTTTCAGTCCATTCCTTATTTCCTTTTATTTCATTTACCTCAATTGATGTTACCATAAATTCTTCCTGTTTACGGTCCATATCTACTTCTTGAATCTCCTGAACTTCTCTTATGATTCTGTTGTTACACATTTTCTCGAAATGATTGTAATACAAACACTTATTGCACATTTTACCAAATGCTGGACACCTTCTGAACTCATGAGCACGGCCACATTTTCTGCACTGACCACTTTTCCTTGAGTTTTCCTCCTGTTCCCATCTTTTGTTTCTTCCAGTATTAAAGTTGTTATTCGAAGCTTTTGCCCTTGCTGTTTGATTACCATTTCCCCCTTTTACAGAATGAACATTAAGTGCTTGACTTGACTGAACTTCTTTAAACTGTATTTTTGAAATTTCATATGCTCTACACATGTCTATTGCCTTTTGTAAGGTTAACTCATGATTCTGCAACATTTTTTCTTGTAGATCTTTATTGATTGTTCCTAAAACTAGTCTATCCCTGATCATTGAGTCTAGTACATCTCCGAATTCACAATTTTTTGCCAATTTACGCAAGTCAGTTAGGTAAGTATCAAATAGCTCTCCTTCCTCTTGTTTTCTATTGTAGAATAAAAATCTTTCGTAGATCACATTCTTTTTAGGGGTGAAGTAATTCTCTAATTCACCCAATACTGTACCATACGATTTTCTCTGTGCATCTGTTAACTTTAAGGTGTTAAACACATCAAGTCCTTCATCTCCCAAAAAATTTAACAGTAGAGCAATTTTTACTGTGTCTTCCTTTTCGGCCTTGTCACTGGCCAAGAGGTAAATTTCAAATGACTGTTTGAATCGCCGAAAGTTTTCAGCCACGTTACCTTCAAATGATAATGGTTGAGGTATTCTAAACTCCATATTGTTCTAATTCTAACAACTTCTTGTTTTCATTTATTTTGGAAGCAGCAGGCTTCATTAACCACAAGACTGCGCCATGTAATAATGTTTAACACGGACTGTTGTACATATTTATTAATATTACTTTCAGTATTACAGATTACAGTGTCATCCTAACCTCCTAATCTAAAGTGCTTAACCTAACCTCTGCCCCGAGACCACGTGCCGCCTGTCCCATGTCATAGTCCTGTCAGGACTTTACATTTACAAGCTATTCAGTCTCATGACAGTCGGCATCTTAAAGGAGGGCATAACATATATTTCCTAATACTTAGCTTTTCTTTAATAAACACTTAAAAGCATTACACATATTTTTAAAATATATTAATAAATGTTAGTGTTATAAACTAATGTTTATATTTTGAGAACGATTTCAGAAGTTGAAATTGAAACGTAAATAAACGTATTTTAACCTTTAATTGTAGGTTATTTCCATTTAAATTGTAATTACTTTAAAATGCCACAAGAAAATATCTTCAGAAAAATACTAAGAAACCGTCAAAATTCAATTAAATTTTTACAAAGATGTAAAGACAACAATCTAATACCAATTAATAAATGTATTTATAAGCACATTAAGTGTTTTTTTTTATTCTTTAATTTGCTAAAATATCTTACGTGATAAAAAAAATTGGTTTGCAGATTTGAAATCAGCGCACCAAAATTATATAAAATCACTTTCAAAAAGTTTTTTTTTTGTAGACCTGTGAATTTTTGGTTTTTTCTCTGTACTTGATTTGAAATGTTGAGGGTCTTTAGTTTGGGTACCTAAGGTGGAATAAAATGTATTTTTTTTCAATACTTCTTTTTTTCGTTGGTATAGTATATAATTTGTTGGTAAGATTACTCATTTGATTAGATGTTTCACTGATGTTCAAAGACAGCCTTTCTGACCTCATCTTAATTGACTTGAATCTTGATAGTGTCATCAGAACAGCCGATAAAAACTAAAGATTCAAAATATCTTGTTCCATCTGTCTAATAGTGTTTAGAATATTGAAAATATTGCCAGAACTTACCAGGTTATATATTGTTACTGTTGTTGAAATACAAGTATTGTTCAAAATAAATGTGCTTTATCAGAGTAGTCTTATCTTTATCTCGAATTGAAGAAAACCTTAGCGTTGGTTGTAAATTGAGAGCCGTCACTGAAGTAGAGCTAAATCTCGTTGACTTTTTTACCGTGCGCTATTTTAAAATCTTAAGTAACTATTCAAATTTATTATTTTAATTTTAAAATGCTAAATTTTAAAATCAATTTGTTTAATTTTTAGATGTGATTGATAAATCTCTTACTTTGTCACAACTTGGACTGGATTCTCTTATGCTGACAGAAATTAAGCAAACTTTATATCGAAACTTCAATATAGATTTAAGTTCTGAAGAGATTCGAGAGTTAACTTTGAACACTCTACTTACGGCAGATTCCACTGATAAAGAAGATATTCCTGTAAGTGTTCAGTCGGAAGCCAATACATATATTTTGTCTGATGAATCACTTTTGAAATTAAAAACGTCAGTCAGTTCAAATATGAAAATTTTTTTAATACATCCAATTGAGGGTCAAGTCAATATTTTAAAACCAATGGCAAGTAAATTAAATGCAACAGTTTATGGTCTTCAGGCTACAGGTGACAATATGGTGAACATAATGAGTGATTTAGGAAAGTATTTTATTAAAAAAATTAGGGAGGTGCAACCAAAGGGACCATATTATTTATGTGGCTACTCATATGGATGTGCTTTGGGTACTGAGATAGGCATACAATTGGAAAATGCTGGTGAAAAAGTTGAAATTGTATTCATTGATGGTTCACCATCATATGTCCATGAAGTTTTAAAAAAATCACATCTAATCAAAGATAATTCTGTTGATGACTCCAAAGTGGCCATTTTGGAATTTTTCTGTACGACATTTCAGATCGAACAAAAAGAGGTAAGATTTGTTAAAACATTATTCTCTCTTTGATCATTATTTATTAAACATTGCTCGTCAACGTCTTGTAGACCAATGCGGATCTATTTTGAGAGAGGTGGCATTCAGATTTTTGCAGAAATAGTTAGGTAATAACTTCTGTTATATTATTTGTTTTAATATCCCTTTCAAATAGTTCGGGTATATTAATAAAAAACTTAAGATATTTAAAAATTACTAAAAATATCGATTTTTGTTCTAATTTCCTTGGTTAACACTTTATAACAATTTATTTTGGAGCAGTCGTAATAAAATAAAATAGTGACAATTAAATTTTATTTAACCCTTAATTTGGCGCGCACATAACCGCTGTAAGAAAAATGTTTGCTTATGAATCATTTTTGGGGCTCCATTTAGTCATCATTTTGTTTCTATTTTAAATTTTTTGACATTATATTGACATTGTATATCATAAGATACACTACTAGGCGTACCGTACATTACAATGTACCTCGCAAGACACATTGTCAGGAATACTATAAAACAAGTACTGATGACCAATAGATACATTGTCAGGTTATTAGAAAACTACCTCTGTATCTAGAAAGATACATTGCAAAGATTTATATATGTAGTTTTGACCAATATATTAAATAATATTGGGTCATTGAATTAAATGAAAATTATCAAATTTTCACAAAATATATTGAAACAATTAAATAAATCTACAATTGTTACGCTAAAAGTCTTTAGCATTTTCAAGACTTTTAGCAAAACAATTGTAGATTTGTTTAATGTTTTCATTACATTTTGTGGTACTGTGTTTTACTTCAATTATTATGAACAGATTCCATAAAGTAGAGGTTTAAACCATAAACATAATATTGGATCAATTATTTACATTTAAAAATTATAAATAAACTACAAAGACGATCAAACATTTATTTTTACAGCTTAAATTCAAAAATTTAAATAAAACATTAAACACAATCTCGCTCTACATTTTGTATAACACATATTTGTTGGTCCTTTGCAACAGTTTCGGCATCGTCCTTTGGTTGTAAAAGTTGGAAAGTGTCCGAAAAGATCTTTTTTAACATCTTCTCTAGGTATATTCTGGACTTGACTACGAACCTTCTTTTTCGGTGTATTAATTCCGAATTAACAAGTAATATTCTAAATTCCTTTAGACCCGTACCATTTTCTTCGTTCTCCAGTAAATTATTATCTCTGCAATATAAAAGCCAAGCGTTGTTGACACACGTATCCAGTATTTGGGAAAAACTTGAAAGGTACCACCTGTGGCTTTTAAAAGATGTTCGATAAAGCGCAACTAGCATATCTGCCAAATTTACGCCACCCATATGTGCATTGTAATGCTTAATAATTTGATGGAGAGGGTATTTCAATTTTCTTTTTAGCTTCTTTAGAAAATCTTTTTATAGTAGACATAGGATAAGTACTTACATACGAACTGCACACATGAATGGCCTTGTTATCAAACCACTTTACAATGCAAGTTCTTTTTTCGTTATCCACTTGTTACCGTTTCAAAAGTTTTAGGAAATTCATTTTAAGTTCGATTATTTTTTTTTAAATGAAACTGTTAACCCCATCTATCTGCCGGGTACTTGTAGCCGACTCAAGATTTCTACTGTAATTCTAAACCTATCCGATAGATGAGAACGATTATTAACTTGTCAATCACGCCCCAATTCAAACCGGGAAATGATAGCGTCTGTCTCTTTTCTCTTACAAACATCCAACTGTTAGGACGTGTTTTTGTGAAGTGGTCTCTATATAGAGGTAAGCCAAAGAAAAAAGGCCTTTTTTTGTCTATATTTTCAGATAAATAATTATTTTTAGACCTTCTTTTACCGGGGACAATAAAAGATCATTAATTATGTTTATTTGACTCGAAGTTAACTGAGAAGTCTTATGCTGTCGTAAACGCAGCCCAATAATCCCTTATGATCTAAAAAAATGGACCCCTAATAACTAATTTAACGAAATGCTTGGAGGTTGAGAGGAAGCAGAACATATCCTTTGTGTATGGTTGCCAGCTAATGGACGATTAAGGTTGTACCTTTTCTTTTTTTATTATACCCTATCGAGAAAGCGAGAATAATTATGGACTCAGAGAAAGAAAATATAGCAGTGTTTTAAATTTTGTTTAAAGATTTAACTTTTCTATTATGCCTAGTTAATAAATAACTACTATAATATTTTAAATGTAAACGAATTTCGAAATTTGGGAATAATATATAAATTCATTTGTTTTTATCAACCAATTCTTGATTTAAAAAGATATAAAGTTGTTTTGTTTATAGTAATGTAATTATGAAATGGTATTTTAGTATCCTTTGGAAATAACATAACTTTTAATGTTTCTTTTTATTACTGAGAAATAATAAAGTGTAATTTCGCTGTAAATTTTTTATATATCTTATTTTTTTATTCTCTCTCGTCCCCTACGAGGATAAACAAGGGGTGGCGTCCAATAATAAATTATAATTTCGAATTGTCTGATTGTGTTTGGATTTTTGAGATATTATTTAATTTCTATACACTTGACCTTGCCCCGCCCTTCCTCTCCGAATTGAGCGATTCTGGTTTTGAACTTAATGTGTGTGCGGGATGTTTATTACGCATCCACGTTACACACTTTCTGCTGAATAGGTTCTCTTCATTTTTTTAAAATTCCGCATATGTTTGAATATCACAACCTTGCAGACGATCTGCTCTCAATGTTCCAAGAGATAGAATTCCTTTTTCGTGTCTTAAGTAGTGTACTAAACTAGAGGAGCAGAAAAATCATCACAAAGCATAATATACCAAATGTTTTTATCACTTTCCTGTTAATCCTGTAATGGGCAAAGTATCTAATAAGAAACAATTATATTTATCCGTATACCAGGTAAGGTATCCAAAAAGATAATTATTCCATTTTCGTCAGTACCTGCCAATGTTGTATATCTAAGGACACTAACTAAATTAACTTTGAAATATTAAAGGCAGATATCAAGCACAATTTTTGCATGAAACGCACGACAGCACAAAAAAAATTGTGCTCGATATCTGCCTTTTATAGCAATTTGTTTTTTGTTTATAGACAAATCATGAATATTATTTTATACAATTATATGCTGAAAACCTAATTAATTATAATTATAGTTTACCAATCCATACAATAACCAATAACATATAAAAAATTAATTTACTTACTGAATGACACAAACTAGCACCTTCTTTGGAAGCCATTTTGAGCACGTCTACATAAAACACTCTCTGATTGGTGCAAGTCTCTGTGTATGACATTTAAATTAATTTATTGGTTAGCCGAATGCTGTATGGAGAGGGTACGTTTAAAAACTCTCGGCAAACTTACGTTTATGTAGAGGAAGTACATTTTAATAAATAACGTATCCTTGAGTACACACCGTCAAGTTAAGGGTTAAAATACGGCTAATCCTTTCTTAGTCACCGTTTTTCAATCATTTAAATTGCACTTAAGACCTTTATAATTCCCCACACAATTTTTATAATATAATGAAATTTTCCAAATGTAGTCCTCTAAATTTTATTAAAATATATTTATTAAAAAACTATTTTTTTAAAACCATACGCAATAAAAACTAAAACATATAGAACTTTGCCAATTTGTTTTTTCTTATACAAATCTATCTAACTTATCTTACGTACTTTATGGAATTGAAATCGGATTATTTGGACGGTGAGGTACAGCCGGTAAAGTTGACTGGCATTTGCTACAAAGCTATAAACCATGGGATGATAATCTTCAAACCATTACCTTTTTATTTCGGAGCTCTTTCTCAGTAAAATATTTTAAGTCTCTTAGATATTTACATCTATTATAATAATAAAAACTATCGGTATTGTGTGTAAAAAATACCAAAAAAATTAGATTGAAGCAAATACTTGAATTTCAAATATCAAAATCGGTATACGCAAAAAATATATTTTTTCGGCTTCCAATGAAGTCATTTTATTTTTTTTTATCCAATGTACAGCAAACTCGCGATTATCAGAAACTCGAAAAATTTGTATAACCCAAAAATCGGGTGGATGCTTAAAATAAACAAAAAATTTAAAAGTTATGACGTATGTAATTCGTTTATTATGTAAAATTGAAGTATGTTAACCTGTATGCGAGTAAGTACATAGTTAAAATATATAGATATGAAAATAATTAAGTACTGGATCCTCTTCATGTTTTAAAAAAGTCGTTAATAGATTTTCTGCGTCCACTTCTGGCCTCGTTTTGAAGCTGCGACGTTTTGCCAACGCTGAAGATGAAGAACGTCGGTAGCATTTGACTCTTCCTGTTGCTGAATGTAGGCAAGTGCTTCAATCGCATTCAATCCTACGAAGTGAGACATTTTCTTGATTATCTCATTTGTGTCATCCGCAGTGACATTGTGTGGGTTGATAGCCTTGTCGGCGATTGCATTATCAGTCAAGTCCATTTGCTAATCTTGCATAATCCAATCGTTGACGTCTTCATCATTTATCGGCAATTTCGTTGGTAATTAATTAGCGAGGTCTACTATTTTAGCAATACAGTCGTTGTTATCTTTTCCATAACTTTTCGCTTCAATTTAAAAAAGCTTTCGCCATGACTTTTGCAAAATTGTTACTCTCACATCATTCCACGCTGAAGCTATACAGTAAGACACATTCTTAACGATGATCTTTTAAAGGGCTGATATCACAGTTATTCCTTCATCCAAGTAGGTCAACAACACTTGGAGAAGCCTTTGACGATAGTTCCGTTTCAAAGCCTTTTAAATTTCTTGGTCCAGAGGTTGTATGAGAGATGTGACGTTTGGTGGTCACCTACATCTGATGGTTTCATCCATCACTTTGATTTGTTATTCTTATATCTCTCCTCGAAAAAAAAAAGGACGAAGACAACAGAACAAAAAAAAATAAAGAGTTGAAAATAAGCACATGGAACATAAGAACTATGCTAGCTCCAGGAAAAATGCTAGAAATAGGAAAAGAACTCAAAAAGTATAAAATAGATATTGCAGCACTGCAAGAATTACGCTGGGAGGGACAGGGACAGATTGATAAACAAGACTTTACAATGTTATATTTAGGAGGAAAGAAGCAGGCAAAAAGCGTGGATTCATGATACTAGTCACCTAGAGAGAAAATTATAAATTTCAAGCCAATATGCGAAAGGATGGCCTATGTTAGAGTCAACAGCAAACCATTTAATATATCAGTCTTGAATTTATACGCCCCCACAGAAACAAGCAATGCAGACGAAAAAGAAATATTTTATGATAAGGTCGAAGAGGAGATAGAAAAAATACCCAAAGAAGATGTCATATTTGTACTGGGAGACCTCAACGCCCAGATTGGAAAAGAGGACTTTTTACAGCAAATTGCAGGAAAGCATACAATACACGAAAACACGAATGACAATGGGCAAAGACTATGTAACCTAGCAACAAGAACAAATTTGTTAATAAGCTCAACAAAATTTGAACACCCTAAAATACATAAGGTAACATGGAGGTCACCGGATCAGAAAACATATAGTCAAATTGATCACATAATAATTAATAAACGAAAACAATCGTCAATAAAAGATGTAAGAACGTTCAGAGGTGCGTGTGCAGATTCAGACCACTACATGGTCACAGCCACTATAAGACAAAAAGTTAAAATTGAAACAAAACAAAAAAACCAACATAAAAAGTGGAATGTCAATAAATTGAGTAATGAAGAAGTAAGAAAAAATATGAAGAGGCAGTAACAGTTCAAATAAAAGAGAAATATAAAGCAGAAGATATAAGCACAGAATGGGAGACGATCAAAAAATCAATAGAAGAAGGTGCAAATATGCAGATAGGTAAAAGTCAGGCTAAAACAAAAAACGAATGGTATAACCAAGAATGTAGAGAAATAACAGGAAAAAAGTGCAAGCCAGAAATAAATGGCTAAGAACAGATAAAGAGGAAGACAGAGAAGAATATGAAAAATTAAGAAGGAATGCTAAGAAAGTAAGGCAAAATAAAAGAAGATGGGTAGACAAAAAAATGCAGGAAATAGAGCAGGAAAGAACAAACAGAAATACGAAAAGTTTTTACAAAAAGATTAAAGAACAAAACAAAAAATACAAGAGCAAAACAAACGGAATAAAAAATAGAGAGGGAATAGTGATAATAGAGGACCAAGAATACAAGCAAGTATGGAGAGATTACTACAGAGAGCTCTTGACGGAGGAAAAAACAGAAGAAGAAATGCATAACGAGGAGGAAACAGTACACGAAGAAGAAGCAAATGAAGTAGACATCGAAATTTCAAAAGAACCAACATTAGAGGAATTGGATGAAGTAATACAGAGAAGCAAAAATGGAAAAGCCCCTGGTAAAGATGGAATTAATATGGAACTAATAAAATACGGGGGAAGGGAACTAAGAGGAAAAATACTGGCACTATTGAAAAATATATGGAAAGAAGAGAAAATGCCAGGGGACTGGGAGGTAGGACAGATCATAACAGTACATAAAAAGGGAGACCAACAAATCTGTGAAAATTATAGAGGAATAACATTACTAAATACAACATATAAAATATTGACATCAATAATAAAAAAGAGGTTATCAAAGATCACAAAGAAGACAGTAGGACAGTACCAATGTGGATTCACAGAAGGAAGATCTACAATAGATGCAATACACACAATAAAACAAATAATGGAAAAAGCAAACGAGTATAAATTAGAATTGGAAATGTTATTCATAGACTTCAAACAGGCATTTGATTCAATTAAAAGGAACGTATTAATGATAGCACTTAAAAAATTAAAAATTCCACATAAACTCAGAAAATTAATAGAAATGACAATGAGAACTACAAAAATAAGCATAAAGACACAAAGAGGAGAGACAGAGGAATTCAGTATAAATAAAGGGATGAAACAAGGAGATGCCTTATCAACAACGCTATTTAATCTAGCATTAGAATATGTACTGCGAAATATAAATAAAGGAAATCTCAGAACAAGAGGTGGTCAAATAATTGCATATGCAGACGATATTGCTATTATTGCAAAGAACAGAAAAATAATGAAAGAAATGCTTGAAGAAATAAGAGAGAAAGGGGAGGTAATGGGGCTAAGATTAAATCAAGAAAAGACAAAAATATTAAGATTAGGGAAAAAACCAATGAAGGAAAAAATCAAAATAGGAAGTTCTGAGTTTGAAGAAGTAGAATACTTCAAATACCTAGGAGTTACAATAAGTAAATCCGGAGAAAGGAAATCCGAAATAAAAGAAAAAATATTAGCAGCGAATAAAGCTTATTTTGCAAACAAAAGATTACTTAAAAGCAAAACACTGACTAAAAAAAGTAAGATGAGCATTTATAACACCATAATTAGACCAATATTATTATATGCAGGGGAAACAATGACGATGGTTAAAAAAGATGAAGAAGACTTAAGAATAGCAGAGAGAAAGATTATGAGAACCATACTAGGACCAATCAGAACAGAGCAAAATGAATATAGAAGCAGAACAAATGCAGAAATTAAGGAAGAACTTAAGGAAGACATCGTAACTAAAATAAAGCAATGCAGAGTTAGATGGTTAGGTCACATTTGGCGAGCAGGCGATGAGGCAGTGACATACGCAATGATAGAATGGAATCCAGGAGGAAGAAAGAGAAGGGGAAGACCGAGATCAAAGTGGCTGCAAGAAGTTGAAGAAGACCTCCAAAGGGCAGGAGTCAGTGAATGGAGAGGAAGAACTAGAGACAGGAAAAAATGGAGAGATATTGTCAAGAAGATAAGATAAACAAAAAAAGACTGATCCACTTAAGAAATAGGATCTAGAAAGCATTTGCGGTTTAACCCCACGCTGGGTGTACAGCCATTATATATATATATATATATAATATATATATAATATATATATATATATATATAATATATATACATTATATATATAGATATATATATATATATTATATATATATATATATATATAATATATATACATATATATATATATAGATATATATATATATATATATATATATATATATATATATATATATATATATATACCTCTCCTTCTTTCAACTTATTTCTATTTTACCTCATATCATTCTATGATCGCTACTGGTAACAAATCTGTTTAGAACCGTGATGTCTTTAACGGTGTGTTTTTTGTCCGTGATAATAAAATCTATTTCGTTTTGAGTTTTTCCATTAGGACTTTGCCATGTCCATCTTCTCTGTGGTTTCTTTTTGAAAAAACTGTTCATTTGGAATAGTTCATGTTGCAGCATGAACCTTAACAGTATTTCGCCACGTTCATTTCTACCATCCAAGCCAAAGTTTCCCAGTGGTGTTTCTGTAGGTTGGATTTCATTCCTGTTTTGGCGTTAAAATCACCGCATATAAAAGTAAAATGTCCTTGATGGTCTTTAAGAGCAGCTTCGATATCATCATAGAATAGATCCACTTCTTCTTCATCATGGTCTGTTGTTGGTGCATAAACCTGTATTATTTTCATATTATACCTTGTATTCAATTTAAGAGTAAGACAAATCACTTTTGTGGAAAATTTCTTTAGTGATACTATACTTGTTTGGAGACGCTTGTGTATAATGAAGCCGGTTCCTCCCAAGGAATTATTGTCGTCACCTACGTGGTAAAAACTATGTCCTGATTTTAGTTTAATTAAGTGTTCGCCACGTCTTCTGACTTCGCTGAGACCGACTATGTCCACTTTATGTTTTCTAGTTCGCACTCAAGTTTAGCACGTCTTTCATTAGATAGTAGGGAACGTGTATTATATGTTCCGATATAAAGTGTCGTCTTATCAGATAGTAGAGAACGTGTATTATATGTTCCTATATAAAGTGTCGTCTTATTTGGGTAACTGTTTCCTTGCTTTGTCAATTTTTGTCCCCTCCGCAGAATCCATGGCACAGACTGATAAGTTATCAGTGCAAGATTCTGGAAAGTAATTTCCTACTTGCCTGGGGTATTTGCGTGTTTTCCATTTTATCTACTACGTATTTAATATATTTATTTATCTTAATGACACCGCGCTAAGTTTAGTAACTAAATTTTTAAAATTGGTTCATTGAATTTAAAATTTTTTTTATTTAGCTACTCCGCAATTGCTTCTCTCCATTTAGTGGTTGATAACTGTTATACACGCTGGCAGTCATATGGAGCGTTATCCATAACAATAACATATTCTGGTTTGATTTTTAACAAGATATCTGAAAACCATTTTTCCTAATGATCTGCATCCATCTCTTCATGGTAATCTCCAGTCATTTTAGAAACAAATGCATTTAAATCTCCTTAACAAATCCTGATAGCTCCAATATGGCTATAGACAGAAGCATAAACGTTGGAACAGAAATTTGTTGTTCTAAAAGGTAAACGTCTAATTTTACTGGCCTTTAAAAAATCATTAAAAAATGGGTCACTTGCTACAATTTAAAATAAAAGAATAATGACCTATTTGTCATAATCTAAATAAGAATGAAATATAACGAATTGAGCTAAAAACATTAGAGTTGGTCTTCCACTGTATTGTAAATAACTCTTTTTAGTGTATCTAGTACTTAGGCGTTCATAAAAACAAAATATTTATTTTACTTATAAGCATACTGTAAACATTTTTGACTCCAGATAAATAACTACGTGTTGAATATTTTTAATTATTAATGATAACTGTGCATGTAAATAACCAAAGTTTCTACAATTGTGTATATGTTCATAACGTGTCATTTCGATAGAATTTTAAAATTTTCCTCATGAAAATTAAAGACATAAGCAAATGTATTTTTTAGGTAACAAAATGTCTGAACAACACACCTAGCTTTGAAAAGAAACTAGAAAGTGTTAGTGAACTGATTTCCAAAATATCAGGTGTAGAAAAGTTAAAAGTTTTAACGTCCGCAGATTGTTTTATTAAAAGAATAGAAGCAGGTTTCTTCTATAAACCGTCCGTGAAGTTATCAGGAAGAATATTATTAATAAGAAGAAATGATAATCCCTTTACGACTGAAGATTATGATCTTAATAAAGTAAGTAATACAGAAAATTATACTTAAGATCCCTAACATAATTTCACTATCTTTGTAGAAATTGATTTTTAACACCGATCCCAAATAGCTAAAACTATTACTTTTCACAATCAGTTTGCTGATTATGGAGTAGCCTCCCCTACATTGCAGTTCTTCATTTCTGCCCACGATTGTTTCATATTCGATTTTCTGTACCATTTTGTACCGGCTTGTTTCCTTATGTTATAGTCTCATCTTAAATTTGGACGTCTTTTTGATCTCTTTTGCCTCTTGGATACCACAGTGTTATTCTAGTGAACTATACATTGTCCGTTCTTCGCGCTAAATGACCCATCCACTGCCATTTTAAAGATTTATTTCTGTGGATTACATCAGTAACCTCGGATTTATGTCTGATTCATTCTATCTATGTTCGATGTCTCCTTGTTATACCTAGCATGCATCACTTTATTGACCTCTTAGTGACTTTGATTTGAGTTTTGCTATTATTGTTGCTTAGTGTCCAGGTTTCGCGGCCGTATGTCATGATTGGTAGTATACACTGATTAATTGCTTTTTTCTTCAGGTGTAATGGCATTCCCTAATAAGATTCATTAATAAGTTTTGCGTGACTCAGATGGCTTTGGAGCGCCAGATGTTAGGTGTCTCTCTGCGAGACCGAATCCCAAACGAAGAAATACGTCGTAGAACAAAAACAACAGACGCTATCGAAAAAATCGCGTCATTAAAATAAAATTGGGCAGAACACGTTGCCAGATTATTAGACAACTGATGGACAAAACCTATTTTAAAGTGGATACCAAGGCAAGAAGCTATACAGAGCAGAGGACGCTCATCAACTAGATGGACTGAAGACCTAAAGCGTGTTAACAATAACTGGATGTGCAAATGCTGGACCTATGTCCAGCAGTGCACGCATACAGGTTGATGATGATGGAATGACATCCTGAATTTATATATAACTGCATTTTCACCAAAGGTTGGCCAAGCCAGTTTAAGTGTTCTGTTGATTTGGAGTATAAAAGGCAGATTTATGTATTAATTGTCCTAGGTATACACATCTACATACTCGTTTACTGTCTGAAGTGTAGTGTTGTGTATTATTAAACTGCACTAATTGGACATCTACTAGTTCGTTGTACTTGGTTTTTGTTTTTATTAAGTCAGCTGGCTTTCTTGACTGTGCAGCATCAAAAATCTATTGTTGATGATCTTGGTGAATATCTTGTATGTAATTGGTAGTATCTGTAAATATTTTTGATATCCTCTTCCTAAGCTTTTATTTCATTAAGAGAGATTAATTTCTGTCGAGATAGATTATTTGTTCTTCTGTTATTGATATATAGAAAAGAAATTTAACCTTTGCAGATACGTTAATTAGTAAACATTTTAATTTATAATATATATATATATATATATGTATATATATATATATATATATATATATATATATATATATATATTATATTATATATATCGGAAAAAGGAGTACAACCGTCAATCCAATATATATAAGGATCACTCAGACGAGTGGTGAGTTCTTTATCTATTTTGAAGACGTTTCGCTTTCGAGTTTTGAAAGCATCATCAGTTCATCTAAAAAATTACAATATGAGAACCACACAATCATGGAAACTATGTTAATTGTTACCTTAAAAAAACATGTAGCAGTCAATGTTATTAGCAATAATGTGAATTTACTTTAGACCACATGGTCATTTGCTGTGCTAATTTTATAAGTTCATATATGTTGTTAGTTACTTAATTGTTTATACAAAATCAGCGTATGATGTCCATTTACTTAGTTTCATTCACATTATTGTTAATAACATTGACTGCTACATGTCTTTTTAAGGTAACAATTAACATCGTTTCCATGATTGTGTGGTTCTCATATTGTAATTTTTTAGATGAACTGATGATGCTTTCAAAACTCGAAAGCGAAACGTCTTCAAACTAGATAAAGTAGCCTATCAACTTTGTCTTTTATTTCTCCGCCTAGAGACCGATATAAGAACCCACCACTAGTCTGAGCGATCCTTATATATATATTATATAATATATATATATATATATATATTATATATATATATATATATTATTGTATGTCTCAGCAATTGGTCTGTGTGAAATAAAACTCTATTTGTTATTTCTCAATATTTCGTCACGATTTTGTGACTTCTTCAGGAGAAAACTGTAAATTTATTATAATTATTATATGTAAACAAAATGAATATTTCAATACTTACAACTTAAGATTAAAAATTTTAAATTTTGATAACATATCCAATTAGATAAATGACATTTTTTTGATTTAATTTATTTGGGAGTTATGGTAACCGCAATATTTTATAGAGTGAATTCCCATTGTACAATTTTTAGCGAATAAGTTTTAATAAACAATTACATATTGTGACAGTATTATCCATATAATAAGGTGCAAAAGTAGAATATTGAGAAAGAATCAGGAACATGGTAAATTGATCTATAAAATGTAATTGATGGTACGTAGTCAGTTATTGGTCTGATGTTGTTAGATACTGATATGAAGATCTATCATATTATATATTGTTTAGTATATTACAGTAGATATTACTTAAATGGTTGGTGTCTGTCTTATAATTGATAGATTCTGGAGTTTTATTAATGTGTACCATTTCAAGGAAAAGTCGATTTTTATAATTATCAATTTGTTCTAATATTTTTACATTATTAAAGTCAAAGTTATGTCCTGTCTTTAAGTGGTGGTCTACTAAGGCACAAGAGTTTTTTCGTAAGTTACAGTCACTTTTGTGTTGAGTGACACGTTGTTTAAGCCACTGTTGACTTTGTCCAATATAACAACTTTGACATTGACTGCAATTTATTCTATAAATTATATTACTCATTAGTGAATTTGGAGTTTTAACTTTTATTTTTGAGAACAACCTTGAATTTAGAAGTGGATTGTATTTAATTAATTTAATGTTCGGAAATGTTTTGAAAAGTGGGACAATTTGGTCTGTTAAATTTTTTATGTAAGGTATTTTTTTTGTATAAAACTGGTTGTGGATTATTATAAAGCTCTTATCAAAAAAATACCTTACATAAAAAATTTAACAGACCAAATTGTCCCACTTTTCAAAACATTTCCGAACATTAAATTAATTAAATACAATCCACTTCTAAATTCAAGGTTGTTCTCAAAAATAAAAGTTAAAACTCCAAATTCACTAATGAGTAATATAATTTATAGAATAAATTGCAGTCAATGTCAAAGTTGTTATATTGGACAAAGTCAACAGTGGCTTAAACAACGTGTCACTCAACACAAAAGTGACTGTAACTTACGAAAAAACTCTTGTGCCTTAGTAGACCACCACTTAAAGACAGGACATAACTTTGACTTTAATAATGTAAAAATATTAGAACAAATTGATAATTATAAAAATCGACTTTTCCTTGAAATGGTACACATTAATAAAACTCCAGAATCTATCAATTATAAGACAGACACCAACCATTTAAGTAATATCTACTGTAATATACTAAACAATATATAATATGATAGATCTTCATATCAGTATCTAACAACATCAGACCAATAACTGACTACGTACCATCAATTACATTTTATAGATCAATTTACCATGTTCCTGATTCTTTCTCAATATTCTACTTTTGCACCTTATTATATGGATAATACTGTCACAATATGTAATTGTTTATTAAAACTTATTCGCTAAAAATTGTACAATGGGAATTCACTCTATAAAATATTGCGGTTACCATAACTCCCAAATAAATTAAATCAAAAAAATGTCATTTATCTAATTGGATATGTTATCAAAATTTAAAATTTTTAATCTTAAGTTGTAAGTATTGAAATATTCATTTTGTTTACATATAATAATTATAATAAATTTACAGTTTTCTCCTGAAGAAGTCACAAAATCGTGACGAAATATTGAGAAATAACAAATAGAGTTTTATTTCACACAGACCAATTGCTGAGACTACAAATAATATTTAACACAGTACGGTCGAGAATAATTTGATATATATATATATATATAATATATATATATATATATATATATATATATCATCATCATCATGGCTTATTCACTCCTGGCGGAGTGTTTGCCGCCCTTTTGGGCTCTCTGATTCATTTATTGCGGAGAATCAGTCCGCTGTTGTTTTTTTTATTATTATAGCAGCGTGTGTGACTTGGCCCTGTCTACAATTTTCCTCCATTCTTTCCGATCCTTACAGCGCTCCTTCCAATTGTAGATTCTCAGCTTCTTTATGTCTCCTAAGACTTGATCTCTCCATCTTGTTTTGGGTCTCCCCTTTGGTCTCTTTGTTGTTGGTCTCCATCCAGTTATTCGCTTTAGCGTAGAGTCTGGGTTAGCTCTTTCTGTGTGCCCCAGCCACCTGAGCCTTTGCGTCTTAACGAACTTGATTATGTCTTCACCCTCGATGACTTCTTTAATTTCTTCATTGGTTAATCTTCTAAATTCGCCTACACTTATCCTCACCGGCCCCATTATTCGTCGAATTATCTTTCTCTCTAAGATTTCTAACCTCATTTCATCTTTTTGTGTTAGGCACATCGTCTCTGCACCATAGGTGATCACTGGCCTGATTGCAGTCTTGTAAATTTTTAATTTGGTTTTCTTACTAATGTGTTTTTCTTTCAAGAATTTTTGGTAGTTCCAGTAGGTTTTATTACCCAGTAGGATGCGTTCATTTATTTCATCTGTTCTATCATTTCTGTCATTTACCATCACTCCCAGGTATTTGAAACGGTGTACTCTTTCAAATGTATATGCACCAAGCTTAATTTCTTTCTCTATATTCGTATTCTCTCTTGAACACTTGAGGTATTTCGTTTTGCTTTGGTTTATTACTAGCCCTCTCTTCTTTGCTTCTTTATCTAGTATTAATATTATGTTCTGCATGGTTTTTAAATCTCTAGTAACCAGTGCAATATCGTCTGCATACGCAATCAGTTGGGC